CATCGAATTCTATATTTCTATGTTGTATGTTTTATTTAGACTTGAAATTGTGCTGCCATTATTAGTTTCATTTTGTTTGATGAATCACCATTTTTTATTTATATTTGATAATTACGTGTCGGGATTTATCGGGCATCCCGATCGGGATCCCGACTTAATCGGGATTTTATTGTCGGGATCCCGACTATATCGGGACGGGACTCGGGATCATATTTTATTTCAAATCGGGATCGGGACGGGATCGGGAATTTGGCAATCGGGATCGGGATCATCCCGATCCCACCCCTAGTGTAAAGAAATACGACAAAGAGAGGGGTATCGTAGACTTTAATTGATCATATATATCATTATAACTACCCCTAAAGTTTGAATTATTTACAATAAAACCGAAAAGCAGTTAAAAGCACCTCTAGACCAGCTTCTGGCTTTAAATTGTCTTTTTTAAACAGAAGCTGGTGATTGAAAACACTAATTTTGGTTTTTTAAGTCAAAAGTTGAAAAATGTTTTTTTAAGTGTTTGCAAACACTTCTTAAATTTTACGGAGTAAAAGATCAACAACCAGGAGGTATTTTATTAAAAATTTTAATAAAATAAAATTTATTTGCACATATATGACTAATAGTTACTTCATACTATGATATAATGTTATCATAACTTAAGTTTAAATATTATATATAAGTTACTATGATTTTATTACTACTTTAGTCACTAAACACATTTTTATAAATAATACTCTCTCCGTAACATTTATTATATCATCTCACTTTCCTTTTTTCAGACGTAACATTTATAACTTCTCATTTCTAAACCTTTTCATCATACCCTCGATAATTTTGAAAATAATACACTGTTACAACTACTACCCCCGTCCCCCTAAGTTTGGGACAAGAGAAGGTGGCACGATTTTTAATAAAAGTGGGTTTATGTGGTTGATATTGAATTGATAAAGTAGGAATAAAGTAGGAATGATTTAGAGCCACACAAATTTTACCAAATAAGGTATGGGACAATCATAGTGGGACGGATCGAAAAGGTAAAATGGGACAATCATAGCGGGACGGAGGGAGTACTTTTCTTTGGATTTATCATTCATTACAACACACTTTTCTTTGGATTTATCATTCATTCCAACACACATAATTTGCATCTCCTTTCATTATTCTTAATTTCACATACTTTTAAACAGGAAGATATATATGTTACGGAGGTAGTGAATATTTTAAACATAAATATGTAATTATTTCAAAGCCATTGTCATTCACATTCTACAATCCCACCATAATATGTAGTACTAGTATTAAATTGCAAAGAGCATTATCCAAAAGTATTATATCATGTGATTCATCTCTTACACTCGCAATGTAACGGCATTAAATTGTACGTAGTATTATGGCATCATCGCATCAGGCTGCACGCAATTTCATTTTGAAATCTCATTTTATAATCTAATTGTTCATGTGAAAAAGTATTAGTTAAAGTTTATAGTTTATCCAATATCCATGAAATATATATGGAGTAGAATAACAAAAACACACAAAAGAAGTTGTGCACCCATCATTTTTTTTCTTTTATCAATTATCATGAAACCCTAATAGTATTCTCTTTCTAATTAAAGAAGTGAAACTTTGTGCTTCCACAATACCCTATTAGGTAATTTATACCAGCAGAATATTAAAATACAAATGTACATACAACATCTCCAACAAATTCAACTATTTCAGCCAACAATACACCAAATATTTACTTTTTTCATTATATTCATTATTAAATATTTCAAAACATGAATTATATTGTATACTTGTTGAAAAAATTAGTTTATTCGGATAACTAAAAAATTAAGCATTCGTCACTATTAGCTCATTAATTGGCGGTATGTGATTGGTGTGTAATCAACCAATACATAAATATCATCCCCAATATCATATCAAGTAATACATATATAAGATACTAGTTTTCACAAGAACTAAAAATAATTCTTTAAATATAAAAATATTTGCTATTCCTCCTATATTTGGCCTTTAATGATCAGATAAAAGGTGCGGTGTCTTTCAGTAATTTATTTAACTGACTTCTCAATTGAATTTTAAGATCAAATTTGGTAGACATGATCTGCATGCACTTCATGAACAACATGTTCACAAAATTTAATCATAAAATTTCATCGAGAAGTACCTTAAATGGAGGCGACTGAACGGCGAATCCTAGTAGATCGACCTGACGGGATCATGCCTGTTTTTGCACATATACTAATAGTTACTTGTATGATAAAATTAAAAATTTCAGTAATTGATAACTTTTATGCCACAACCACAAAGCTATCATAATATGCTCAAAATTAGGATTAATCACCACCACAAATGACAAATAAACTTTATAAGTATCCACTATATTTCCATTGTAAATTTGTAATGTATGTAAGGGTACTTAAATTGAATACAAATTGAGAATAACTATCTTATTATTGTTTCTTATTTCATATATTCATTTTATTTCTCACTTTCATGTGTAGTGACTATCATTGGAAAAAAAAATCTGACATAATTCGTTTTACACAACTCTTCTAATGCGGAAAATAACAACTTACCTGCTGTCAAAATGCCATAACATTTGTATCAAATTCAAAGGATTCATGGTAAGTGCATACCAAAACATGAAGCATATAATACTTAATTACTCACGTCGATTAGTATGTCTATTTTTCAGAAATACTGGTAAATCAAACTCTTCTTTAGAAATTATACACAAGTCTTAAAAGGAAATATAAGCAAGCCGAGACATTGTCTCGATCACAAAAAAAAAATGTGGAGACATTATTGTCAAACAATTTTCCCATTCTATCTGATAATTGAACCAAGCAAAAGACTTATCTTTTCAAATCAAAATGTTCTAGCTTAAATTGTAAATTGCATACACGCTTAAATTGGGCTCCAAGTAGAATTCTACTCTCTGCAGGTTCATTTCCTCTTGAGTAAATAACAGTAAAGGACCAGGATGTAATTCAATATTCCTAAATACTCCGTGGAATTATAGAGAATTCTAGAACTATGTGGAGATGAGTAGAATTCTCTAGAATAGTGTGGAGTCATCTAGAAAAATATAATAATATCTAGATGTGTGTAGAATGTTGTGAAGTCATCTAGAATACTCTAGTCTCTAGGGAAATGTAGAAATCCCTAAAACTGTGTGCGAGATTGTAGAGTATTCTAGAGTGTTGTAAATAAGTGTGGAGTCATCTAGATTCTTCAAGAAGATCATGGAAGCTTGTGGAGACTTCTTGAAAGAAAATATAATGTAGAGAGGTATGTGGAAGATTATAGAGAAAGTCGATGTCTACCCCTTTGTGAGTAGTATAAATAGATGTTGTAGTCTTTCATTTGAGGTATGAAAGAAAGGTTTCTCATAACTAAGAAAGAGTGAAGTACACTCTCTTGTACATTTCAATTATATAATACAAAGTAAAATTAGCTCCTGATCATGGTAAAGATCGGGGATCGTGTTTTCCCCAACATCAGTTTGGTTGAGGAATTTGGGAGGAGAAAGAAGGATTGATTTTCCATTTTATTTATTTACCTGAATTTATTAATTTTAGACTCCATGAAAGGCCTTAGTGTGTTGGAGTGGTCGTGTGACGTCCAACTTCGAGCATCAATCCTTCAATATGTAATAGGTCCATTATGGATAAAATACATATAAACCACCACGAGAGATAAGCACTACTACAGTCATGGGCGTTGCTAGGAAGGGGTCAACCCAGGCCTCGGTCCACTCCACATTTAAAAAATGCCACATTTTTTGTGTAAAAAATCTCGTGTAAATTTTTTTACAAAAATATTCTTTGTACCGGCACAGTGTCCTGGCTCCCCCTTACTATAGTCACTACAAGCGACGCGTATTCTAATTTTAATAAACCCGCTGATGTAACCCCTTTGTAATTAAACAGTTATTCACTTGGCACAAATGTGTTCAAGGAAGGAAAATTTGCTGGAAAGTAAAGGCCGTTTTTAACAAATTCAACCGGTTGTCTAGAACATGGCCCACTAAATATAGTGATAAATTATCTGTCCCGTACGGACAAGCCCGTTTGAGTTTTCAGGTCTATTTGTGAGAATGTTCTTCATGAAGTTTAAATTATGTACACAAAGTTTCAACTTAAATTCAATCAGGAAGTCGATTAAATAAATTATTGGAAAACACTGCACATTCACTGCAACAAAATTTTAAGCTGATATTTTCTTGACATAATCTACATTTCAAGATATAATCTACATCGCGCCTGACCAAATCACTTCTTATAATATGATAGTTAGATGGTAGTTCATATACATAGTTCCTGAAGAGCAGGCCCGTGCGGACAAGCCCATCAGAGGGTCTTCCCGGTAGAATTTTTTGATGAAATTTTTTGAGCATATTCTCCATCAAGTCTAGTTTATCCATACCAAAATTCAGCTCAAAATTCGATCGGGAAGACAGTCAAATAAATTCTGGAAAAATACTGAGCATTCTGCGCACATATAATGTGCAGTATGTTTCCAGAATTTATTTGACTGCCTTCCCGATCGAATTTTGAGCTGAATTTTGGTATGGATAAACTAGACTTGATAAGGAACATGCTCAAAAAATTTCATCAAAAAATTCCACCAAGAAGACCCTCTGATGGGCTTGTCCGCACGGGCCTGCTCTTCAGGAACTCCTGATAGGAACGGGACTCATGATAGTTATATTATGTAGTATTACAATAATAATAATAATTATAATTAAAGAGGGACTCAATTTTACATTTGGAACTAAGGCCTCCAAATTCATTAGACGGCCCGGTTGAAAAGGATACCTCCAAGCTTTTCTTTTCTTTTTCTTTTTCTTTTTACTCCAGGGGGGGTCTGGGGGAGGCGGGCTAGGGAGGGGCCTAGAGTAATGAGGACTAAAACTCACTCCATTGAGTTTAGAACCCTTATGTGCCTAGCGGGTTTCGAACTCCAGACCTCTCGTTAGACACGGTAACCTCACAAATGTGATTCTTTTTTTGCATGTACAAATGTGGAAGGAATATCAAAGTGACAAAGTTGGCCGCCACTCCTTCACTTTCAATAGGAGTAATATAGTGAGGAGAAGGCAGTAAGACACCATAATTAAGAGAGGAGGGTACAAAAAAATGAAAACAACAGTGAAACCACATGTGTTGCATTTGTAAACGGTAGTTATGAATGAAGATCAGAACTTCAAAACCTCAAATATGGTGTGCTGTGCTCCAGATATATGACTCAAAGGGAATAAGATGGTTGATCTTTGCAGCATATGTTTGATTTTTTTCTTCTCGCAAGCCTCCCTCATTAACCCAAATTCAATTCCATTCTAGTGGAAGGAATAGTATGAGGTAATGAGAGGCCTTCCGGGTGAGATGGTTCAACTTCCCCTTCTTCAAGATCATTATTTCCATGATGCATTATAGCTTGACTACAATGTGTTACAGCAGTGGCAGCCTCTTTTTGAAGGGCATTGTCTTTATCAGATCGTGGTGGTGGTGGTCTTGACATTTTGGGCTGCCAGCTTTCTTGTTTTCTTTTCCGGCAGCTGCTTGCATTGGTGTTAGTCTCACTGTCACCACCACGGGAGGAGGAACAAATGTAACTGGTGGCTCGTTCTTCACTAGCAGCAGCAGCTAGAGCCGTCAGCGCACTACCCCCTCCTTCAGATCCACTAGCAGTCTGCTGCTTCAATGGTTGTGCTTCACGCCTCTCATACAACTCTAGCATCTGTTTGCAGTAATCTGCAAAGCATGGAACACCCACTACCTCCAGTTAAAAGAGAGGAAAAAAACACATATATTTAAAAAAATATTAATAACGTACAAAAATGCAACATGACTGCACAACCGAACAACCCAGATTGGTTTTAACTTTTACCTCTCAAATGCTATATATATAACATAAATAAGGCAAATTAATATAAATTAGTTGCATGCCGTAATCTCATAACATTTTGAAACATTTGCTCATTCATTCATTCTAGTCCATGATGTGTAACCAATCTCTACAATCAAATGCATGCATTCAATCACCCTCCAATTGGTGTATGGTGACACCAAACTCCTGCCACCATGGATTCTCCCCACCAGATGGAATCTTTAGTTTGAGACGTTTAGCTGCTAGGAAAACAGCACCAGCTGCAATTTGGTGGGACTGGAATTGCAAGCATATAGATGTCCTGAGCCTGCATGGTGAAAAAAAGATACAATAGTGACCATGGTGGTCAAGCAACGGCACAGTCCAAAAAAGAAAAGCATGTCATACCCATCATTGACAAAGTTCCATGCAACTTGAGCAAGTGCATCTTGTGCGACCTTAATTTTCTTAATGGCCTGAACAAGGAGCTTGTATGGATGACGTACAATGAGGTCAAAATCAAGCGTTACCAGAACTACCCCTTCTGCCTGTAAAATAAGTTCCTTTTTTTGCTGATACACCTCCTGCATAGTAAAGGACCACATTTCAAATGTTTAAAATTATCATTTTTTTAATACAATCACACACATACACAGTGGCGGAACTAGTATAGGGCTTGGGGGTGCTTGTGCCCCTGCAGACCTTTTGTTTGTTTATTATATATATATATGGTGGTCTACGGTGGGCTTCGTTCGGAATTCTTAGCTCTGCCTGGTGCTATGTTGGAGAAGAAACAGGGTTCGATCGATCATTGAATTGGGGTGCTATTGTTGTACTCAGTATACTCGTTCCAAGAGGATGACCAGAAAAAGCAAAGGGGCCTATAAGCATGTTCGTTATTTATCTGTGCTAGTGTTCGTTTGTGGAATTATGGAAGGAGGGGAGAAGATGGAGTTTAGCTGTTGCCGTACTTTTTTTAATTGGAGACCAATTATTTTATTTATCACTTAGAATGAGTTGGACCTTTATTTGACAATTTTAGGCCGACCCTAATGCTTGGGATGCTTAAGAATAATTCGAAGGTCTAATAAAGGGTTGGGGAGGAGTTAGGGCACCGGGTTTGACTGGACAGATACAAACAATATTTGTAAAAAAATGTTACGCAAAAGTTTTTTACACTAAAAATTAAAACATTTCTAAATCTCTGATTAGGGTTTTTTTTCAAATATTACTAAAATAAAACTTATTGACACAAATATGACTAATAGTTACTACAATTAAGTGTCAAGGTAACTTAAGTTTAAAAATTGAACATAAATTATTATAATTCCATTACTACACTAGTCACATTTCTTATAACAATCTTTATTTTAGTCACTTATGTGTAATTATTTTTTCCCTTTAAGTTGGGGGTGAGCCGAGGCCTAGATCCATATGTGATTTAGGGAAAACATTATTTTAACGGATTTATCAATTTAAAAAAAAACTTATGTTTAGAATTAAACAGGGACAATGATTAACGTGAGAACGCCCACATTTACTAGAGTAGTTATTTTTTGTTGTTATTGATGGATTGAGCTCGGGTTCGACAATGAATTTATATGAATCAGTTTTACAAGCCGATTCCTAAGCTAGTAAAGATTCGAGCCCGTAATGTGCCCCTCCAAGTGCACCGAGCTGGTTCCGCCACTGCACATACACACTACCACACTTAGACATCACAACTTTTTGTCACTAGGTAATTGACAAAAAGGATCAAAGTTGGAACACGGTATTAACTATCAAGACAAGAAGATTAAAAAGCAAAACAGGACACCTTTTGTTTGACCCTTTGGGCTTCTTCGGCATTCTTTGCATGTATAATCTTATATGCCACAACAATGACATCTCTTAGAAGATGTGGAGTTTCTTCCACCTTACCCGCTAGAAACATACATGCTATGGAAATAATCTGCAGAAACATTCGGCAAATATATCAACTTGCAACCTAATTTACAGAAAATTGTCAGCAAAAAAATGAATGGAGGGAAACAACCACATCCATAAGCATGAGTCATATGCACGTAGTTGTCACAATATCACCCACTAAAACATGCCAAATAAGAGAAGTCCATGATAAATGATATTGGTTCCAAGTATATACAAAAACTTGTCCTGATTTCTCAATTCGCTCACTTGAACAATGATTGGAATAAAATGCATAAACCCAATTTGAAGAAGTAAATAAGCAATCCTCTAGATTTGTTCAAGTAAATAATGCTATTAAATAAGGTAACTCCAAGAGTCCAAACTTCTGCATTACTTGAAAAATGCCATATGTCATTACATTAACTATTGTGTTGCAAATAAATTCCTGCAGCTCCAAGATGCTAAAAAGGCTTTGATATAGAGATTCCATGTGAATAAAGTATCATTATGCATTTATATGCACCATGCCGGTCAGTCAGCCCCAAATTTACAAGTAGTACAACATATGATACACAATTATCAAACACATCACATATGTAACAACACAAAAAGTAAACCTTTGCAAAAAATATCATATCCGAAGATTATGTAAACCATTCCCATAAGCAGTCCACAAATTAATGATTAATAGCATCCACTTAACATAAACCCAAAAAAGAAAATAAAAATTCACCGACCCTCCAATCATTTTTTGCATGGGACTGACGAAGGAAGAAACGATGACAAAAGACACTTGCCGTAGCGATTGTAAACTGAGGCCTGCATCATAAGAGATGCAATGTTGTCATCATCATTATCAGCACCTTAATCCCAGCTAATTGGAGTCAGTGACATTAAGTTTATAGAGCTAGTTAATTGTATACAAATAATTAACACTATAAATTCATGCAAAACAAGCACAGTGGCAATGTTTTGCACCACAAATCCTTCATGTCACAGTGAAGGAACAACATTGTACAATAAAAAAAATCCGTCAAACAGTCAACAATATATGGTTGCAAAACTAATAGGGTTCAGATAAAAGATGACTATAGCTGGACAGATGACACAAGCAGACATATCATAGTCCTACTTTTTGGCATCTTATATGGAGCCGAATGTGTTAATCTATATTCTAAAATTCAAAGAGTTCACACTTCACAGCAAACTAAACACTTTCAGATGTCCATGAGTTCATCTCAATTACATTTACGTAGATTAGTTAGAGTGTTAGACCTTATCTAATGCTTTGTACTAAATTAATATGTTCTGTTGAACTTGAGAAGCAAAAAAGGTTGTTGCATATCCTCAACTTGGTACAAATGAGCTATATTTATAGCTATTAGTTACAAAGGGTAAATCAAATGATGATGTCATGAATCTAGATAATTGTGTAACCTTAACATATCGCATATTACTATTTTGTCCAATCATATCTGATGGAATTATGGAACTAAATGAAACTGGCATGAATGACGACTCTTCTATGTTAGTTATATTGTTTAATACTCCGTTAATATTATCAAAAGGAATGTGACCATGTATCCTTATTCACCTTAGAGATAATGTAGAAAAGAATGTTTAATACAAAAAATCAATTACTCCAACTGAGAAAATGCTAAAATGGGAAAAGTGCATTAAATTTGGAGTGAGGGAGGGGGGATAATTTATATAAAGGGAACCTTACACTTTAAAAAATCATTTACTCCAAAAAACTAAGAAAATGCTAAAATGTGAAAATCGCATTAACATTTGGATGGTGGGGGAGGGGATTATGTAAAGAAAGAAAAGCTTACACTTTAAGGGCCACACCCAATTCTTGCAAGAATGTGCTGTATGATATCCGTAGATAATTTTCTTTTTTCAGATCAATGCCATCATGTCTAGAAGGGGAATTTTCATCAATTTCCTTCCTTGAGAGATACCAACAACGACCACATTTTTCAAGCTTTTCATGAGAACCCTCAAACTTCCCTTTCAATATACCATGATGGGAGGGTTCACCAGTCAACAGGCCATCCATTTGAAGTTTACCTCAGCCACTAATATTTACAAAAAAACTGGCGATGTTTCTTAGTCTAACATAATACGTTCATGGCCTTAGACAAGCTGCATTAATCAATATATATGAACGTTTTAAACTATTGTTCATTTTAAGTTGATATACGTAATCGTTTTATGATTTTATTTGAATGGCGCCCCTCCTAAATGAACAAAACTTACGAGTCCACCACAGAAGGGGCGGAGCCGGCTGGGGCCAGAGTTGGCCCCTCCCTAGCTACGCCCCTGCGCCACAGATTAGTTGTGAAATGGATACAATGGGACAAATGAGAAAGATGGTGATATGCTTTGAAGGTGCATCTAGTTCTCCAAATATTTTAAAATTTGTATGAAACTATTTCTTATATTTTCGTTTGATCTCATCCAATAAACCAATATTAAAGCCCAATAGAATTCAAGGGCCAATACGAAATATCATCTTAAATGAAATGCTAATGGAATACAGGATAACAGCTCACTCTTAGAGTGTTACCAGGTACTTTTTATCAAATGCACATTTTAAGTAAAATATCAATACAGTGTTGCAAAGTCCATAGACAATATCAAAACTTAAAATTCTTGAATTTCCCGTGGTCAAACAATATGCAATGCCTTTATGAATCTTACTTAGGTTCATAAATAGACGAGCCACATTTTCCATAGCCCAAGAAAAAATGCACCACATTTAATCTTCCATATCTTGCTCATAAGCACTACTATTAAATTTTCCAAATTTTCCTAAACCGTATACCAACAGAGCAGACATTATTCATTTGAAATTATGAAACATAAACATCAATTAACGTTCACACCCGAAACTAATATGGAACTATTGGAACTTGTGCCAATAACCAGTGTTTTAAAGAAAACAAATAGAAGTGAACAATACCTGGAAACTGTGAATATAATGAGGCGCCAAACCTGAGACCAATTGATTTTGCGGCACGAGGTCAAAACCCTCGGATAAGGCCGCCGGTAATACGCCCGGCTCTGTATGCGACGAAGATATCAACGGCGTTAGCTTTTAGAAAGAGATACAAGTGCGGATCCGGAATCTGCAACGGCTAACGATGGTGGCGAGCGGCGGAGCAGGTTAACCAGGCAACGGCCCTCATGGGTAATCTACAAAAGCAAATAACAGCCCCAAAACTTTTTCCCAACTGATCTACGGAGTACGGATGCATGCCGGTTCTCTGTTTGGTTTTATAAGTTTCGATTGGTTTGGAAGAGGATGAACAATTATTACCAAACAAAAATAAAAAATCTCTGTTTGGTTTGTTTTAATTGGTTTCTCATTTAAGCATTTATTATGGTTTTGAAAATGCACTGATGTATCTCTTCCTTAAATAAACATAAAAATCTTTTTAAGGTGTGTTTATTAAAGTATAGGGTTTCATTTTGAAAGGTTAAATTTTCTTCCAAACCGTAGTACTATTTTCAGTTCAGTTCTATTTGTATTTTTTATTTTCTAATAATATGTGAATGTTTTATTGAATTTCTTTAGTTTGTTTTGGTTTTGTTTAGTTTTTATTGATTTTGCTTCGGTTGATTTAATACAATTTGGAAGAAATACTATCAAACTCAAATCAAATTGCATATGGTTTGATTTTGATTTGGTTTAGTTTGGTTTGGTACGACTTGATTTGTTTAAATCAAACTGATATGCCCACCCCTAACTAGTATTTAGAGATCATGGTGTGGAAGATCTTTTTATATATTATGGTTGAGAAATGAGATTATTTTGAAAGATTATTTAGATAAAAAAATTGATATCAAATATTGAATTATAGATTAATGAAGATTATTCACATATTTCAATAAACACATTTAAATTGAAATGACTAAAATACCCCATTGGAAATAACAAAAAAAAACTCCATAAAAACTAAATAAATACTCCGTAGATATTAGGGTTGAGAGAGAATTAGTAAGCTTTGATTTGTGATAATGATATAAGAAGAGAAAGGTGAAATATTTAGGGTGGGTGCTATTTGATCAAATATCAAATGGAACTTGGAAGTAACAGAAAATAAAGTTTTGACTTTTGATCAAATATTTAGGGTGGGTGCTATTTGATCAAATATCAAATGGAACTTGGAAGTAACAGAAAATAAAGTTTTTATCAAAAATATTAGTGAAATAATCAAAAATATTTCTAAAATTATCATTATATTCATAAATATTTATGTTTTGTTACAGTTTGGTTTTGTCATTCAAAAGGTGAAAGTAAGCTTTGGTTGCTGGGCCGTGCCTGAGGCTAGTGAGGCTGGAGCCCCACTGCCTCAAAATTACAGAAAAATTAGGGGACCCGTTTAAATACTACCTCTGTTCTCTTTTAATCGCAAGATTGGACTTTTTGCTCTATTCACATATTCTACTTTGACTATATTTTACTACCTCCGTCCCGTTGGAATGTTCCCGGTTTGACCTACACACATATTAAGGAAATAAACTTACCAGGGGGTAAATTTTACTGTTTGGACACTGTTTGGACACTGTTTTGCACTGTTTGACACTGTTTGACACTGTTTTGATGTAGGATAACTTTCCATTTAGGGAAATGAGAACTTTCCATTGGGACATCCAAAAAAGGAAAGTGGGAACATTCCAACGGGACGGAGGTGGTATTAATTAATGTATTATAAATTAAACTTATAAAAAATATTGTTAAATTCTTCTCATTCTAAATTTTCAAAATATGATTTTTTAAAATTTGTTACTAATGATGAATGAAAGATATTAATGGTCAAACTTGTGTGTTGGCAAACGTGAAATGTTGACTGTTGCAATTAAAAAGGAACAATGAAAGTATATCAGTACGTATATTATACACATTAGATACGAAATTACGAAGTATATGTAATTGAATTCCAAATTGGTCCATTGTTTTAATTTTAATACCTTACTAATGGACAAACTTGAACGAAGAGGAAAATAATAGTTGACCAACGTAGTGGAAAGGATTGTACTAATATTATAAATATTTTGTTAGCTAATTAGTGCTAATTTCTTGTTCTGATTAAATCGTGACTTTATCTCAATTTTTTTGAATCTTGAAAAGCCTGTAGAATAAATTTAGCTATTAAGCTTTAATCAAATGTGTTCTTGCTGATAAATCATACTCTTGTCTCACTAACATTCTAACATGAAGAGGTGATGCAGTTATTAAGAAAATGAGTTCGATCAAGGGATATATATTAAATTGATAAAGTGAGAATAAAGTAACAATGATTTAAAACCATATAAGCTTCATCAAATTTGGTAAGAGATAATATTTAGATGGACTCAAAACAATAAATGAGACAATCTTAATGAGATGAAGGGATATATAGTTATAAAATAACTATAAATCGATTTCACGACATGAGCTAGTAAATAATTTAGCTTTGACAAAAGCATATATAGTAGTGTATAATCAAATGGAAACTAACCAGCTGCTATGGTTGGGTTTTGATGTTTTATCACACTACCTCACTAAATGAGTGATTGGGTTCAATTAGTCAGGTTATATGTCATTTATTTTTTAGAGGGAAAAAAAAGTAAACTAAATCATCTTTAGTTATTTCTATCATTAAGTCAAGATTTAAAAGAATTTATACCGTCAATTTTCCTACTTCTGCTTTGATTAATTCTGTTACAATTCAAATTGTGTAGGGGTATACTTAATTAGTTGTTTATAATACATTTTATATTGCTAAATCATGATGAAAGAACTTTATTTAATAAGTTATTTTTGCAATATCTATCTCCTACTTGTAAATTACATGGAGTACATAGGAAGAAGAAGTACTATACAAAAACTATTTGTAGGGGCCTTTTATGAAACTCGACTCAGGCCCAAATTTAGATAGGATCGGCACTGTTTGGTTGATTTAGTTTAATTTTGATTCTTTTGATGTTTTTATCACTTGATAAAAAGAATAGCATAGTAATCACACAATAAAAAGTAAACTTACAACATGCTACTAAAAGTAAGACAAAAATGTACTCTGTAGTAAATAAGTACAGAAATATGCCTTCAAACTACAATAGACAAGATGCTCATATCCTTTAGAAGCTGTTCTCTTCACCTGATCTGGATGATTCTGATCTGAATTTTTTAAGTTCTAATATAATTTGACCTGAATTTTTCTGATTCTGATCTGATCTGTTCTTAATCTTTCTGATCTGATTTGAATTTTCTGATCTGGTCTGATCTGATCTGAATGTTTCTGATCTGATCTGAATTCTTTTGAATCTTTCTGATCTGAATTCTTCTTAATCTTTATGATCTGATCAGATTTGAATATTTCTACAATTGTAATTATAATTATAATTATAATTACAAATATAACTTAAATAAAATTATAATTATAATCATAATTATAAGAAATATAATTATAATTAAAATTAAATTTAAAATTATAATAGTTATACCAACTACACTAATTATAACTATAGATACAATTATAAATGTAATTATATTTTTAATTATAATTACTGATGGAGTATATGGCCCACGAACCCCCGGCCCATAGACTCCTACTTCTCCCACAAAGGCCCAAGGAGCATCTGAAGCCCAAATACGGTGGCCCAAGTTCAAGGAAGCCCGAGATACACACGGGGGTACCTTCGGCCATCTTGGCCGAAGGCTCCAGAACTCACAGCATGAACTTTTTTGGCATGCAAAGTTACTGGGAGAAAACGGCGGAAAACAGGAGCCTTCGGCACTGTTGAGCCCTCGGCATCAGAGAAGCCTTCGGCTGAACCAAGCCTTCGGCCGCACAGAGCTTTCGGCCACATGAAGCCTTCGGCTACGCGAGGAGCCTTCGACCAAACAGGCTCAATCATCGAAGATTCCCTTTGAAGACAGCCAACCACCGCATTTAATACAACGTCACATCCACCAACCACATTCAATGCGGTGAACATGCCACTGCCGGTGCCACGCGATTGATGTGACCCCTCGGCCGTTGGATTACTGACACGTGTACTCTCATCGCATTTATTGCTGCTATAAATAGCAACTCATTTCTCCTTGTAAACGATCCCAGATCCACACGCAGAGTTCATTTAATAAATCGACTCTCTCTCCTCCTATTTTGCTCTGACTTCTCTCTAGTTATTCCCGCAATAACCCCTCGGATAAGACATCCCCCGGGTAGACCATCCATCAATTACTTATATAATTATTATTTTAATTATAATTATAATATTTATTTCTATAATTAAAATTATAACTATAATTATAAATAGAAATATAATTACTCTGTATAATAATAATTACAACAATAACAACAACAATAATAATATTAATAATAATAATCATAATTATAAGTATAATTACATTATTATATTATAACAATAATATAATAATAATACTAATAATAAAATTAATAATAATAATATTATAACAATAATAATAATATAATAATAACATTATTATTATAATATAATAATATTATTATTATTACTATTATTATAATATTATAATTATATTTTTGTTGTTATTATTATTATATTATTATTATATTATTATTATTATTATTATTATTATTATAATATATTATTACATTATTATTATATTAACATATTATTAATATTATTAACAATAATTATAATATAATAATTATAATAGTAATAATTATATTTAATATAATAATAAAAGTGATAAATCATGTTTGAATTTTTCTGATCTGATCTAAATGTTTCTAATCTGATCTGAATGTTTCTGATCTGGTCTGATCTGATCAGAATGTTTCTAATCTGATCTGATCTGATCTGAATTTTTCTGATCTGATCTGAATAAAATAAGAATAGGGAATAAGTAATAAGATTAAGACGAAGAGAACAGCTTCTTAATTTATGGGCAAGATGCTCATATCCTTTAATTTATGGACAAGATGCTCATATCCTTTAGTTTATGGGAACAATTAGATGCTCCCTTCGTCCCAATATAAAAGGCACATTTGCGTTTCCACACATTTTTAGGGTGAACATTGTTTGACACTGTTTGGACACTGTTTGACACTGTTTGGACACTGTTTGGCACTGTTTTGCACTGTTTTGTTTGCCAAAAAGGGAAATGTGCCTTTTATATTGGGACGTCCTGAAAAGGAAAGTGTGCCTTTTATATTGGGATAGAGGGAGCATTTAAGTTCTAACATATATGGTCTTGTCTCTATAAAAAAGGAAAATTGCTGAACTTTTCTTCAAAAAAGTTTTATGACATGTTTGTACGATATTTATTATACGCAAAGGATGTGACTAACATATACGAAAATAAAAGGATATGACAAACATATATGGAGTACAAAATAAAT